ATTCCAGCAGGATCACGGACCGAGATGTAAGCATTTACTGTGATGTTATTATCAGCTATTTTTGTAACACAATGCACAATGCAGCCATTTTGTTGTCATTTGTATTTCAGTATGTCACTCTAAAATCAGTATATGAGGAAAGGGTTAATGCTCGGTTATCGCAACTCAGTGTTGTCCTCACTGCTGAGCAAAAGATCTTCTTTGTCTTTATTGCTTTTCTCTGTTATATTCAATTTAATTCTGACAGTATAAATATAGTGTCATGTTATCCTCACCTGGCCTTGACAGTGGTCACGAGACAGAGACTTAGCAAGAAAGGCAGAACAAGCTCCTTGTTTCTGTGAGAAGTTTGTCAAAGAAAGCTTTTCTCTTAAATACGTTACATACTTATAAAAGGCAGCCAGCAACAACCATCTTAAAAAAAAAATCCACAAAATACAAAATGCATCCACATAATGGACTGGTAAACCCCTCCCCGTCCCTCTGTTTCTCTTCATCTTGACAGTTCACAGCGTGACTCTCACCTTCAGGACTTAAATGTTATCACCAAAGGATTAGGCCTCAAAGTTTGTCTTGGGTGCTGTATGTTATTTGTTCTTCTCATGTGTGCATGTACTGTATACGTATGTACATGAATGCATATATTTGCAAGAACACTCCTGTGAGGTGTGTCTGTAAAAATAGTCTGGACGATAGGGATGATGTTGCACAAAGCTCAGAAATGCGCTCCTTGATATTTGCTTTAGGCAGTTTTCCTCCTGTTTTTTTTTTTTTCTAGACTTTGGGTGACTGCTTTCCTGCATAACTTGTTCTTCTGAATGTGTTTTGCAACTCAACTGATGATTTCAAACTTAACCTTTAGAGTTAAAAGACAAAAGGTAGCTTTCCCTGCAAGAACCCAGTAAAGACTGTCACCCATTATATGAAGGTCACGATATGCTAACTCCTGGACATAGGAATAAAGCTTAACCTCTCACGATAAGGTGACACATTTGAAACATATTGAAGCTCCAAACACTGCTTGAGGTTTTATGAGGTTTTATGGTTCCTGGTGGGGTGGAGGCAGGTTGGGCAATCCTTTATTCCTCTTTTTCCTGTTGGGCAGGATTCAAGCTTTCAAAAGGAAACACTTAATAAACAGAAAAATCCAAACTCATCAGGACTACCTCATTCCCTTCTGGTTCAATTCTCTAACTCTCAGACAGAATTATAGGAGGTTTTCAGACATACCATGTTCTTCTTGGTCAAATCTTCTGTAACTCAGGAAGCATAAAGACATGAGAATGTCTAACACAACGGTCTCTTTTTGTTCCAAATCTTCTTAACTTAGGAGAACATAAAGACATGAAGATATCTAGAAACGGTCTTTTTTCCCAAGCCATCTTTCCCCACCAGGCCAGGTGGATTGTGGCATTCTGTTAAAATTCTTCATTTCTTCATCAATCATCTTTTAAGCAGGAATTCAGTTTTCTTGCTGAACTGTGAGGCTCTGCCACAGTTCCATCGTCCCAAGTTGACATCCATTTCACCGTGACAGGCCGGGCGCCTGCGGGGGAACACCCACAGAAAGGGGCTCTCTCTCTCCCATACCGACATCCATCTTACCCGCACAGGCCAGGCCTGCAGGGGAGCACCCCCAGCAGGGTGCTCTTCCCTGACTGCCTCTCCACAGTCCTCGGTCTCCTGGAAGTCAGACAGTCAACTGGACAGAGCCTCTGGCCGCAACCGTGAGAGACCTCTCTGTTCCTCTTTTTTCCTGGGTTTTTAAAAGATTCTGGTCAGTAGACCTTATCCTCTCATCCAACCAGATGCCACAGTTTGCAGTTAATACCTTATTTGGCGTGCAAAGTCATATTCTTCAGAACTTGACTAAACGTTGATTATCATTGATTAGACATTAATTATCAATCAAATCCTTAGTTTTGCATGGTACAGTCATTTTTGTTACTTCCTTAGAAAACTGTGTGTCTCTTCTCTATGTCACATACACACACTTCTATAATTCCTCTTTTCAGGGATGTGTGTCTACTTCCTTTTTTTGTGATTCCGCATTTTTCACTCTTTAGATGTAAAATCACTTCTCTCCATTCTTTCAATACAATCATTTCACATTTTATTCTTACACATTCACTAATGATTATTTCAAACAACACACATACATAAATCATCTTATGATTATCCTTACTTATTAAAAGTTAAACTTTCTAAGCATTATGCCATAGCATTTTAATAATAATTTTTCCCTCTCCTCCAGCATCTCCTGCGGTTTTCTCTGTCTCCTCTGTTTTTTGTGTTTCTTGGTTCTCTCTGGGACCCGTATTTACAGCTTCGCTGACATCATACAGCTCTGGATAACTGTGGGACTCTGACTCTGTAATTGTGAATGGAAACAAAGGGAAAAATTGTGAGAATATGGGAGCAAAGTCCCAAGCACACAAGAGTAGTTATGGGTTGGAGAGCAACATTGCCAGATGCTTTTTAGAACAGATCTGTTCCTAATGTGTCTTGCCTTAGGATGAAAGTGTCTATTGTTTTCTTGAACAACAGAGGAAATTGTAATAGAGTTCTGGTTTAGATCTGAGGTCTGGTTAATATGTGGCTGTCTCCTTTGTTTGTGTGTGTCAGTGTGAATCTGTATGCACCCATAGGGACCTAGGACACAACAGTTTCCTCTTTGTCTAGAGTCTGAAGTGAAGATCATTTGTGCTTCACAGAAGCTTCTATTTCTGACCAGAGGCTGGGATTGAGCCTAACCCTGTATGGGGCTAGAGTAGGGGCCTGTATATTGCTTTGGAGTCATGCCAGCTTTGTCTTTTAGTGGTTCAAGACTCGCAGCACTCTGATTTTATCCAGATTATGTCAGAATAAGGGCCCATAAACATACAGTCATGTAAATAAACCAACCTACACCTATAGATCTAAAAGAGCAGAAAACCAATTGTAGTGCACACTCACTCATGTTAACACAACAGTACAGAAACAAAATAAATCAGAAGACAAACACACAAACAGAAATTGTGTAATTATTGATGCTGGTGTAAAGCAAAGTTTTTTGTTATTGGACTGTTCTGGTTAATGATATTGACCTCACAAATGATTTCTCTATTGTTTGATTAGGAAAAGTGTTTATGGAAAACACTGGCCTTGGCTTATTTCAACAGTGTTAATTTTCAATGTCCAAAAATCTCATCTGCAGGTGTCAAATATTTCTAAAGTCAGTCTCTTACCCTCTCTAGGTATGGCGTGATGCAGGGACCCAGGTGTTTTTCTCCTACGCTGTGTGTCAGGGAGTACTGACTGCTCTGGGAAGCTACAACAAATACAACAACAACTGCTACAGGTCAGCGTCCTTACTTGCAGACATGTTGCTCCCGTGGTACATTACCACATTTCCAGATTTACATTTGACAGTGCAGGCTTGCTCTGTTGTAGGGATTGCTTGGCACTGTGTTGTCTGAACAGTGCCACCAGTATCTTTGCTGGTTTTGCTGTGTTCTCAGTGCTGGGATTCATGGCTGATGACCTCGGCATAACGATGGAGGAAGTTGCTACTAGTGGTGAGCTAACTCCCTACTTTTTCACCTTCTGCATTGTTTATTTTATTGCATTACTGTCAACTTAATTTGCATATTAAAATATCTTTTCTCATGTTTATTTCTAGGGGCAGCACGGTGGCTCAGTGGTTAGCACCGTTGCCTCACAGTGAGAAGGTTCTGGGTTCTGGGTTCGGGCACCACCCGGGACCTTTCTGTGTGGAGTTTGCATGTTCTCCCCGTGCTTGCGTGGGTTCTCTCCGGGTACTCCGGCTTCCTCCCACAGTCCAAAGACATGCAGCTTAGGTTGATTGGTGTCTCTAAATTGCCCATAGGAGTATGTGTGGTTGTTCATCTATGTGTTAGCCCTGCAATGGATTGGTGACCTGCCCCCCCCCACCCCACCCCCTCGTGACCCTGTTCAGGGACTAAGCAGTAGAAAGAAAAAAAAATGAATGAATGAATGAATGAATTTGTGACTGTGGTTTTTATGCTGACAGTGTTGAGAACAACTAGCAATGGCCACAAGATGGCACCTTAGTAGTAGTAAGTAAGCAAGCTTTATTTATATAGCACCTTTCATAGATAAAATCACAAAGTGCTTCTTCACAAGGTCAACAGATACAAAAGCAGAACAAACAAAATAACAATATAACAGAAGCCAAAAAATAACATAAAAATAAAAGAACAGGCATAAACATATTTAAAACTAAAAATCAACTAAAGGCCTGTCTAAAAAAGTGTGTCTTCAACTGCTTCTTAAAACCATCGACAGATTCGGCCATGCGTAAAGAAAGGGGCAACGCATTCCACAGTCTAGGAGCCACAACCTGAAACGACAGGTCCCCCCTAGTCTTCAAACGGGTTTTGGGGAATCCTAAACTTAACTGGTGAAGTGAATATACAGTAAGAAAGGCGTAATATGAGCTGTTCTAGAGGTTCCTGTAAAAAGCTTCGCTGCATCATTCTGCACAATCTGAAGACGATTTAAGGCTGACCTATTATAACAAATAAGAAGGGAATTACAATAATCAACACGTGAAGAGATAAAGGCATGAACAATCATTTCCAAATCAACCTTTGATAACATTTTCTTTAATTTAGTGATGTTCCTCAGGTGATAAAAACAATTCTTAACCACCTATCTTATGTGGCAATCAAGAGACATAGACTGGTCAAACACAACGCCAAGGTTTCTGAGGCTCGACTGGACAGAGGAGCCCAAACCTTATGTTTGGATACAGCTGAAAGATTCCACTTTTCAGTGGCTGTAGCCAGTGGTGTTCCTAAGGCATCCAAAAAATGATACTGACCTTCAACAAGCCTGTTGTTTTTTTTATTTAATTGTCTTTCTTTTGTGTGGTTGTGGTCTAATTCTCTGCTTAACTGTGTTTCTTCTTTTTAATCCTCTATTGCAAAGCAATTGGAGATTATCTCTCTGGGGGCAGTGCGATATAATCAGACGCAATATATAAAAATATATGTTTAATAATGATTAATAGTTAAAGCAATGGTTCCTAAGCTCGGGGTGGGGACCCCTCAAAAGGACAGAGGGGTCACTGGATCATATTAATAGATATGAAAAGATGTATGCTCTCAACTACACCCATGATGGAGGATTTAGAAAAATACATTGCTTCATTTTAAGGGGTCACACGCCAAACAGTTTTTAAAGAACTATGTAAATCAGTGCATTCATTTGCACTCTACAGGTCCTGGACTGGCCTTCATAGCCTATCCTAAGGCTCTGTCGTTGCTTCCTGGCTCATCCTTCTGGGCTGTGCTCTTCTTCCTCATGATCCTCTTCCTGGGCCTAGACAGTCAGGTACTGCAGATTGTGCATTATGTACAGTGTATTATGTACAGTGTATTGGTGTTGCATTTCACTTACAGATAAACTAACCTTCAATTCTGTGCTCACAGTTTGTGTGCGTGGAGAGCCTGTCCACAGCCATCACAGACATGTTCCCACATAAGCTGAGGAGGCCTGGTGCCAGAGAGAAACTGGTCCTGGTCATCGCTGTTGTCTGCTTCCTACTGGGGCTGCCACTCATCAGTGAGGTAAGTAGAAGGAAGAGGATGATGAAGGATGATTAGGAAGTCAGCAGAGCCAGCTGATTTTCTGTTGGCTCTCCACACAAATGTATGGGAGAATATTAAATAATACGATTGCTTTTTTAGACTTTGCAAATGATATTGGACTGAATGGATCAATTTCAGTGGTCATAATGTTATGGCTGATTGGTGTTTACTGAAAGAAACTGAAGCATCATGTACAATATATTTTAATTATTCATATCTACAAAGGAGAGAAATGGGAATACTTTTTCCCTGAATGCTATTTTTCTGCCATTGTTTCAGGGAGGGATAATCCTCTTCCAGTTGATTGATACCTATGGTCCCAGTGGGACCACTCTCCTGCTCATTGCCTTGATTGAGGCTGTTGTCATTGCCTGGGTGTATGGTAAGTTATGTCATTACCTGTTATTAGTGCATTGTATGACCAACAACAAAGCAGTTTACTAACTTCCAATTATTAAAAATGTTTTTTTAAGTTTGTTTCTACTGTATCAGAAGGCCTTTGTATTGAGGTGTACTAATTTAGCCCACTGTTAGCTAGTGTGATGGCAGTCTTCTCTGATTACTGTGATGATACGTGTCAGGATATATAGTCAGTTATATTCTGTTGTTATCTAGTGCATTGCGTTCACAGTAGCTACCAGAAAGAACTTCATTTGATTTCCTCAGCTTGTGCAGTTCTGACTGCAGCATTTGTTTCATCAGTGTAATCAACTTATCTGTATCTGTATAATCTTATCTGTAAGAAAGCAGCTCCAGATAAAAATGTCTGAGCTTCAGTCATTTTATTTTTATCTTGTGTAAAATCAAACCAGTGCATTCAGCAACAGTAAAAGGACATTCTGATGAGACTGAAAAAATAACATAATTCTGCATTTATTTATATTTTAACTATTTAGAGCTTGTTTCTCTTAGCATCTTTCTGTTATTACTTTGCATATGTGCCTCATGTAGATGCACTCTCCTAATGGAGTATCCTTTATAGCTTTGTCTGTTTTTATTTATTTATTCAGCAAGTAGGTGTTTCCAACCTTTTTTAAGCTGCCTTGCTGAGAATGAGATGAAAAGATCAAGACCACTCTTATATCTAATATATAAGACCACAGTTAGCTTAGCTTGTTATAACAGCAAAGATACAGGGATAAACAGTTAGCCTGGCTCTATCTAAATGGTCAAAAAGTCAGATAGCCAGCACCTGTAAATCTCATTATTGAACACATTGTATCTTGCTTGATTAACCCATACAAACCCCACAAACTAAGCTAACTGGCTACTGGCTGTGGCTACACATTTACCAGACAGACAAGATTGCGGAATAAAAAAACAAAACAAAAAGTGTATTTCATAAAATCAGGAATTACCCCTGTAATGTTGGCAAATGGTTTACAGTGATCTGACTGTAACCTTTGTTACTTTACAGTACCTCTTTGCTCTCTTTTCATTTCTGCTTTGATGCTTCCTATTCAGCCATTCAGTTTCTGTTGTTCAGCTTGTTGACCCCCGTTCTTTTCACCACGTTAACTCTGAGAGACAAAGCAGTCCGAGTAACTTCAAAACAGTGCTGATTTATTCAATGATCACAAGTAAAATTAATATTACACGCTCAGGAGTCTTTGCACCTCCAACATGCACGCAGGCAGCTGGTAGATGAAAAGCCCTGAACCATAACAGGCCTATACATTATATCACTTCGGGCTAGCCCATACTACTCAGGGACGCCAAACCGTGACGTCTCCCAGTGCCAGCTTTGCAGCTGACCAGAGCAGTAGTCGAAGCATGAAGAAAATCAATGTGTGATTGTCTGTTGATTGTGTGGTGTGTAGCTAAAACATTCTGACATGACATCTAGTGACATGTCATGACATTAAACATAAGAAAATATTATGATTACGATTATGATTAAACACGTCATAATAATAATACTAAACATTCTGTCTCCTAACAATAATCAACTTTCTGTCTTATCCTTGAACCTGAACAACCTGGAGTACCCTATGGGAATGACTAAGCATTTAACAGCCTGAGCTAGACATCCTGTCTACCCTAAACATTTCTAATACGCACATAAAGTATCTAACCAGTGTCTATCTAACTAAAAATACCTAATATAGACGTTTTGTCACCAAACCACTTTCCGTTGTTTAAAGACTCATAGGAATTTGTCATAAATGTCAATAAACAGAAAATGTGGTGTTCCACAGTCGGTGT